GCAAACAAAAACTGTGGAAAACATCCCCCGGCTTTGCACACACACACACACACACACACACATCGGGGTGTGTGCGAGAGAGAGTGTGTGTGTGTGAATCCATCTGAAATAGGCCCGGAGAACAAATTCCTCCGCTTCATGTTGTTGTTCGCCTGTGTGTTCTCGACCAAGATGAGCCTACAGTGGACACCGAGGCCTTGACCTAGTAAACTCAGCCAGCACCCTTAGCTTAATATCGCAGTTTAAATAATGCAGGATCACCAGCTCCCCTGCCCACAGGAGGCGTTCGCCGTACTTTAAAGTGACTTTTCACTTTGGTGGAGTTTTATTTTCAAACGCTTTTATCCAAAGTGACTCCTTTTGCCGTTAGCTGCTGACTTTATCTGTCCCATGCAGTGGGTATTGACCGCCGGCGCTGGGATTTCTCGCTCCTTTAATAATCGCAAAGTTTCTTTTTGTCTCATGAGCTGTTCTCGGTGTGATTCTTAGACTGCTGGCAAAAAAAGTGACACCAGTAGAGATTAAAGGGACAGGCACTATTGACAGAGGACAGCTCAAGAACTCTTTTGAGAGTAATAAATACTGAGTGCGAGGGATTTATAACGCCATGACCTGATATAATGCAGTGAAGCTATTTTCTAGACGTTTGCCAGAAAGGCAGCAGCAGACGAAGCGGCTGCGCTGCGTATGCATTGTTTTCTGAATGCGTGCGTCAATGCAGCTACTGGGGGACAATGGATTTTAAATAACATTTTGTGTAGAGAAAAAAAAACAGGTTTATTTCTGTAATTAAAGCTGTTTATTGGGCCCATCATCGCTATCATCACTGACAGTGAATTAATCAAGGGTGCATCAAAAGTTAAACAGCACTTTAATAAGAGGGATGGGAGAGTTTTGGCTCTCGCACAAGCGGCTCCCGCCTTCCTGTCCTCCTCAAATTATTCAATTAATTTCGCTTCAGACTTTATGGACCATCCAGGCACCTTCACAGTTTACTGTCTGCAAAACATTCGGCGCTTTGTCTGCTTTTGTCATGATGTTACATGTGTTTGTCATTTGCGTGTCGCGCTCTAAGTATGTTTGCATGTTGACGGCGTTAATTAAATGACCCGTGTGCAATTCACATGATTGCAAATCCTTTAGAAACACGAATGAGGCTGCATGTACAATTTAGCAATGAAGCGTTTTATGTCATTGTGCTTCAACTTTAATGTCCAGTAAGTGAGTATGTGTTGTTGACCTCTTTAACTCTGCTATAAGGCTAGTTAACTCTTCCTTTCTCACGTCATTAAGTCGCACCTGTCCAGTAAGCGTGGACACGGGGAAGAATTTGCGGTCACAAAAATACTTTCCACTGCAATGTAATTTCAGACTGCAATGACAACACTCCACACGTCACTCAAAGCAGCCACGACCCCAAGTTATGAATAGTTTAAGCCTTAAAATGTTGTCATGAGTTGTCACGAATGAGGAAATTAACTATAGAGACCAAAACCACCTTTGTACCAGGCTGTAAATATGTTTATTGTGCTGTAAAGTTCGACATTTTAACATCGAGGTCTATTGATATTGACTCGCTTTCGTTGGCAGCCTCAAGAGGCCATTCAAGGAACTGCAGTTTTGGACACTTTCAAGCCCAGAAACTGAACTCTGCGTCCTACTTTAGCATTGATGCTGATTATTAAACAGTTTGGTACATCGTTATATATGGTTTGTAAAAATAAAGGTAACATTAAATATTTGCAAACTGCGTATTTTAGCTAAGTAGAGTCTGATATGTCCTGTTATCTCAAATGTTCATTTTGTTAAATAAAACACTGATTCAGTTTGATTTCACTTCAAAGACCTGCTTCTGTGTTCCTATAACATCCAGAGTTTTTCTGATATTTCCACTGAAGCTTCAGTATTTTTCCTTGTTGGCAAGATTTTATTTATGCATGTCGTCGGAGTGTTTCAGGAGCCAAAGCCATTTTCATTTCGGTATGCCATTTTAGGTGTTTTTGTCAGATGTGGAGTGGAAGAGGTTAATCAGTTACGGTGCCATCCATAAATTATTCTACATTTGATGTGAGATTTGAATATTTCACAACAAGCTGATATGATGTACCTAATAAAAATAAATTACGTGTGTTTTCACAAATTAACTGCTGGCACAAAAGATAATGGGTTAGTGTGGAGCCATTGTTTTCATGACTTTATCAGAGGAGTGGGTTGTTATTGAGAGTCTGATTATTAATAACACAGCAGATCCTGAAAGTAGGGGTTCAAAAGGTGTTAAATTAGATTTCTTTCATGCGATAAAATGTCAAAAGTCACATTTTTAATCATGGAAGGTCCAACATTTTTACTCATCTGCCCACAGGATTTAAACAGAAAACTTGCTGTCCTTAAATGTTTTCTCTCGTCTGACTCGGGACATTTGGCACGAGTCTCACAGCGGAACACAGTTCTCACTGCATTAAACATTTTGATTGTTAGACTTGAATTTTTATATATTTAATTCTGCGTTTGTTCTGCTGCGGCAAAACCCTTAGGTTTTCTTTGTTAAGGCCTTAAAAGGTATCAACTCTCATTTGAAAAAAAGCCTGTATGAACTGAAACCAGTGACTGGTTTGATGGCTGAGCAGCTGCTAGCTGAATGGTAGCTCGCTGTGCGATTGTCCAACTGGAGTCCGGCCGGCTGATCTTTGGTAGGTTTGGACGACAGCCTGCATGTTAAAGTGGAAGAGTAAGAGTCGTGGTAATAAAAGGAGCTCGGCTAGACAGTGTTCCTTTAGCAGTTGATGGACGTTATGATATGGAGATGACGTTTAATGAGCCAGGAACTTAACTGAGCCACTGATAGTTTTACTAAATGAGCAAAAACATTGTCGCTCCCTGTAGAGGAGCTGTTTGGTTTTTGGTGGATGTTTCTATCATATTTTTTTAAACAGAGTGAGGCAAACTGGAGACCACCAGCTTTATATCTCCTCTGTAGCTTAAAGGCATGGTGAGGAATGAGATTAGAGTTGCGTAACGTTGCTGCTAGATGTCTTTTGCTTCCGTCAGACTACGCTGTATTTTTATTTTCTGCTCTGATTGTCATAATTTTCCGTAGTAGAGTCCATAATTCTCGCCCAGAGATAGAGCAGACAAGCTGGGCGCTGACTAGTCGTATAGCTTGCCATCTTTCAGGACTCACATAGCGCACATAGACGATTGCATAAGAACTGCCGATGGTTGACCTCTTTCTCCAAACATAACTCCTGGTTCAGCATTTGTAGAAGTTACTAAACAGGGCAAGAGAAGACAAAAAAAAAAAAATGCCAGGCACAATAAGGTTGCGTCACTTATTTCCCACCATGTCTGCCCACCTGGGCCATCATCAGGATAGTATCCAGTAAAGCAGCAACACAGATTTGCACATTTCAGTTTGGATTAAATATGGCTTGGATCAACAACTCCCTCGCAGTAATGACATCATGAACTCAAGGTCTTCCTGTCTTTTGTCAGTCGTTTGTTTCATTCAAGGCCAGAGGAAGCCATATAACATAAATGGAACATATGTACAGCGCCCGCTCCTTCATCACCGCTCCTCATTACTTTAGCGGAGTAGTTTATCTCCGTGTCACAGAAGGGTTAAAGGAAATTAATATTTTAGACGCTGCTGTAATGTTATCTTCCTCTAATTTGGATCCACCAGTCTGCTGTTGCCTCAAAGGTCAGCACACACAGCAATGATTAAGTATTTGTCTGTTAGAGCTTCGGGCTAATCACTTTGCCGTCACGCTGACAGTAACACATCTCTTGGTCCAACGGAGCCTCAGCACAGCAGCATCTTTGACAGTTTGAATCAAATGTCAAAAACGCTGCTGTGCTGGGCCCACATTTGATCTATAGAAGCTAAAAGACGGAGAACTACTACTTGACATTTGAGGAGCTACAGCATCATAGAATAAAAACACAACTCGATGCGTTCCCTTTTCAGAGACGTATAATAAAAGCAGAAATGTTGGTCGGCGTACTTTTCAAGTGAGAAGTCTTTACGCTAAGCTATGCTAATCGACTCCCGGCGCTATTGATCTTTTCATCAAACTCTCGGCGAGAAAGTTTCCACTTTTGTCGTTTATGTATTTATAAAGTCACAAGGTACGCTCTTTACAGCCGCAGAAAATGGATTATTTCAGCGCATCCTTGAGTGAGTTTGTGAAAGTTTCATTGTTGGCCTCATTCTTGCATTTTTGTGTCGCTTACGCTGCTGAATTATACAAAGAAATATGGAGTGGAGAGAGAGAGAGACAGGTAGAACAGTGATAAAGGTGGAGAAAGGAAGGCAGATAAAGAGTGTTTTAAATGGAGGTCAGAAACAGAGTGAGATTTCAGGGTCACAGAGCATGAGAGGAGTATAGTGGAGGGAGGCCAGAATAACATAGTAGGTAAAAAGCAAATGGGTGTTTTAAAACAGGAGGACAAGGAATTGGAGTTAATTCTATTTCTGCTTTCAGTCTGCTTCTTCCTCTCCTCTTTTTTTTTTCTTCTCCTTATCTCAAGGTCTGTTACAAACCGTATGCACATTCATTCTGTTTCCCATAAAAAAAAAGAAATACATTGTGTAACACGTGGGATGTAAACTGGGTTACAAAACGCCTTCAAGGACACGCACTCAACAACTCTTTACGCAAAGACCCACTGTTACAGAAGAAGGAACTGAAAATAATCGCACACAGAACAGAAGTGAGACCAAGTTTTAAGGTGGCTTTTGTCAGCGATCAAAAAAGTTTATTTGAAACCGTGACATAACATCGTTCGACTCCTCTCCAACTCCGAGCCCAAACTCCTCTTGCCTCCACTCTCCCAGCAAAAGAAAGCATTTGCATAAAAGAGACAAGGCTTTTGTGTAGCCATCAAGTGTTCCTTCGGCGCGCAGGCTGAGCGATCACATCCTCCGACGTCGCTCATCACCCTTTTATACTTCTTTAATCCTTCTTCTTTTTTTTTTCTCTCTCTCTCGCTCCCATTAGGACAAGGACTCCTGTCCCAAAGCGCTTTGCAGCTCAACAACCAGGATGCCTATGCAGCGGCTGGTTACCATAGCAACCAGGGGCTGGCGCTGGGGGAGTCGGTCACGGGTCGTAGCGGAGGGGCAGTTCACAGCTACAACCAGGTGCTCGCTTCTTTTCATCTTCACTTTTTCTGGCCTCGCTCCTCCTCAGCCTCTGTTTCTATGAACCGTCCTCTCGTGTCTTCATTCACACCCCGTCCCTCCTCACGTTTCTCCTCCACCCTTCTCTAGGTGACCTCCAGCCGTGCAGCTGCCCAGCTAGCAGCCACAGACTCTCCCTCCCAGTCCCAGAGAGACTCATTTGCCCAGCAGGCCCTTGGCAGCGCCTTCCACATGCCCTCCGAGGGCGGATCTGCGCCCGCTGGACCGTCCATGTATTACTCCTGTGCCACTTTGCCTGCGCAGGTACAAATCCCCGAAGAGATTACTATGATGCTTCAGTTGTTGTCTGACTGACGTGGTCTCCACACCTCCCTTTCACTGCTGTAGCTCTGCCACAACCTCATGCAACCAAAGAGTATAGAAAGGTTTATGCATCCATGGTATCATGTCGGACACACTGAAGCAATATATTGCTGTGGATCAGTTAACGGGTACCGAACGCTGATCTCTGGAGAGTTTACAGTCTTGTCCTTTGCAGAGGATCGAAGGTAAAGATCCACAGCAACCCAGAGTCATTGCAACAACAACAACAACAAAAAATCATCAAGACATCCTGTTGCTCTATGTTCAGTGTCTTCCAGTCAGTTAGAAGTAGGTCATTAGGAGAGAAGTCGGTATTCCTGCAGAAGAGGTTTGACATGTAGTGACACTTTTGTAAAATCAGTGACTCCAAGGGAAAACTAAATTTGCACAAATCTTTCACATTGAGTTCAGCCTTGTCGGTTGACAGTTTCATACGGTCGTGAGACAGGCCTTGATATTACAAATAGGTCTGTTCAGCAAATAATGTGAACTCCTTCTCAAGTTAGCAACCAAATGAACAAAAAAAGCTATTTCACTCAGCATGTTTTTCCTCCTCAGTAACTCCGTAATGAATAAAACAATTGTGCTTTGGGCTTGCTACTTTACTAGTTCTTAGCTTGCCAGTTTTAGTGGCTCATCAACTCCCTTCGATAGTCGTCCCAAGGCTCTAGCGCTGCCTGTTTCACAAGAACGTGGGGATGGAATTTGCTATCTGACTCTCCAACTTTTACTATAAGTACGGTCAATCCGAGCTAACTGCAGCTGCCGTCCTTTCAAAAAGAAATAAGCTACAATATTTTCAGAGCCGCCTTTCAAACTCAAAGGCAGCAGGTACTTGATTGATTTTTTTTGGTGGAGTATTCCTGTAAAAAGACTGTGGAGCCAGACGGCTTTGATAGAGGTGGCCAGGGTCAAACCATTACTCACATTAGGGTGGCACAGAAACTGATACCTTGGTTTTTTTTTTTATGGTATTAGTTTTATTCTTTTTGTGTGGCAAAGTCATGTTGTAGTCAACTCTATGGTCTTTTATCGTTCACTTATGCAAGCATGAAAGCCACATAGAGGGACACCATGAGGACTTACCCCCCAGAGTGTTAAATTAAAACAATCTGACAGAGTTGGTTAAAGTTTTAATGAGTTTGTTAAAGTGTCTGCAGCTCACAGAGTTATCAGCAGTGATGGTTAACCCAAGGAAATCATTCTTGATCCGCTCATAATCAGCTCATTTTTGAGGCAAATATTCCACCAAATTGCGTGTCAATTTTTGATGTACCCTTTTGGCAAACATTCATGGGTTTTTTTGACGTTGATTTTTAGAAACTGGGAACCACTTAAAGCTGGGGTAGGCAGTGTTTATTTTTTTTGCCTCATGGGGCTAAAACTCCACACTGACCTTTCAGCGTATTATAATCCAAATGGTCGGAGAGGAAACTAAACTTCAGCACTTCAGATTTTAGCCAATTGCACATCTTGTAACTCAGAATAGGTGAGATACTACAGCGGTCCCCAACCACCGGGCCGCGGACCAGTACTGGGCCGTGGGTCATTTGATACCAGGCCGCACAAAAAGGAAAAAAAAAGGTTTATTGTTTTATTGTTATTTCCCGCGCCGTCTACAGGGTGTTTTATTTTGAAAAATAACTAGCTCATCTTCCTGTCACTTCCATCTGTGCTTGTTTCCTACACTTGACTGTCAGTTTTCATGTCTGGCCGTTAAACGAAGCCATCAGTCAAACCGCTGCCGAAATGTAGAACAAATCAAACCGGAGAGCTTCTTTGGAAAGTGGAAGAGACTCGATGCTGAGACAGAAGAAAAAGTAAACACATATTGAGCAAGTGATTTTGTTTGTTTGCGAAACTTTTTAGTAAACAATAGAATTTTTTGTTATGTGTGCAATGACCGGTCCAAAGACTTGCATAATCCATAGTGCAAAAAAGGTTGGGGACCACTGAGACAGTATAACAGTTCTATGGTGAGGTGAGGTTGTGGCAGGACCTTCACTTGAGAGATCAAGGTGTGAATCCTGGGTAAGGCCACGACTGCTTGACTATCTTTAGAACAGAGGAGGAAGAGCTATATATATTTTCAACATCTCCACATTTTTCTGCTTTATCTTTAAACAAATCCAGCCTCTTGATTTGAAGTCTGGACTTACAGAGCAGTAAACCACTCAGCTGCTTCGCGGTGAACTACTTTTATCCGGATGTTGTCGGTGCTGCTCTGGCATCCAAACTGGGCCTCGCTCTTCATCCTCAAATGAAGAAAGGCGTACCCAGGGCTTTTGCAGTTACTACTAAGTGTTAATTAGATTTGCAAGCAGTTTCTGATGTGAGCTGGACCAACAGCACAGCCACAATGCAGCAAAGTCGTATTAAATGCTGACCTTTTAAGTGATGATTTACTCCATCATTGCTTCTCTTGCTGCATTGTGATTCTTTTTTTTTTTTCTGGGCTCAGAGTTTAGCATTTTAAGAACACTCTGTTAATCATGACTTTTTTTTTTTTTGGCAGATTTACCCTCACTGTCCGAGTGTATCAGCAATTGGCAGCGTCCTCACTTCAGCACGCACGTCTCCACCGCGCTCGTCCGAATTAACGGAGTGTTTAAAATTCTACCTTCAGCTCTGCAACCGCATGACCTTGCAAATATTTCTTCAACTTATTTCCCCATTTGGCACCAGAAAAGAAAAGTGCATGTTTAGAATTCTGAGGGAACTTCATTTAGCGGCCCATTGCTCGCAGTCGCATTTCAAGTTCATTTGGTTATAAAAGTTCCGAGTCATCCCTTCATGTTTGGTTTGATAACCCCTGCTCTTCATCAGGATGTTATCGCAGATTAGAGTTTCTGCTCTCTGGTTTTCCAGCTCCGGGGGGACTTGTTCATCTCTCTGAAAATAATGATATGAATAAGAAGAGAAGATGAATATTTAAAGTGAGTGACATTTCCCTTTAATGAAGTACAAATCTTGTATTACAGCGCGTGAGCTCCCCTCTGCAGGCAGTGGGATCCCCTACCAAGCTGCAGCGCCTGGGATCAGCCTCTGCCGACATGCCCAGCTACGCCACGCTACAGAGGGTGTCCTCGCCCAAGCAGTCGCCCAGCCGACTCGCCAAGTCCTACAGGTTGGTTCAATTTCAGTCTGACTAATTCATGCACTACAGCCTTCATTGTTTGGAGCACATTACGTAAGACTTTTACAATCCTTAAGCACCAAAGAATACATCAGCGGGAGGTCGATACGGCTGTTGATCAATAGCAATGACTCAACAATTACTTCATGTCTGGCTTGGGAAAAAAAAAAAAAAAAGCATTTTCTGGCCTGTACTGTTTAGAGCAAAAATCTTGCTGCTTGCATCAGCTTTGTTAGCCTTCACTGCTGCTGATACTGAAAAAAAGATGGTTTTACTTTACCTCAGCCTGTCTTCATTTGTTGAGAAATGAAGTGGTGCTGCAACAAACATTAGAACAGATGTCCTGCAGATGCTGTTTGCTTGAATACACCGGACTCACGATTAAACTAAAAGCTACGATCCAGCGCACAAGTGTGGTCTTGGTATGGATTTCTGTCCCCGTACGATGCTCCGAATGAAATTTAGCTTTCAGTGTATTGCTCTCACTAATTGTTCGGGGCTGAATTGGATTTTTTTTTCTCCAAAAAAATAATCTTTAATTTTCTCCAAAAGTTTTTTTTCCCTACTTCACACAATTGAAGCAGCACACTTGACTGTCTTCAAAGTTCGATGTATGGATTAGAGAACTCAGTGCTCAACTTATGACCAATACATCTTTGCTAAAACTGGCAAAGCTTTTTTTTTTTTTTTCCGTTACACTGAGAAAAGACGAACCCCCTAACGAAGCAGCAGGCTGTTGGTGGGCCAGTCTTAACAAGCTCATGCTGGGTAACCAAATGCTGTTCTAACCCACAGAACTTTATTTTAAATTCAAGTGGGAGATTCCAGAGTTTTCAAAGACACTAAATATGGCAGACTAGATTTTAGGGGATTTCATATCAAATGAAAACACGTAGGAGACATCTGTCTGAAGGAATAGTGTCTCATATTTGTATATATTTTATTTGTTTTTGCCTCATCTGTGATAAGGCGGCTAAATCGAGAGTAAATATGACTATTAACATCTTTCACTCAGTGTTAACATACAATGCTATGAACAATAATAGTAATAGTAATTGGACATGCAATATTTCATTGGTTTTCCTAAACAATATGTGTTTTTGCAGTTCAACGTCCTCTCTTATCAACTAATCCCACCGTATATGGCGTTTATATGTAGACACAGCAGTTGGTTAAGGTTAGAGACTGATCATGTTTTTGGTAAATATCAAAAAACTAAACAATCACTAAAAAACATTTAACTTAAGCCAGGATGCCCAACATCAACCGAAGTGACTCTGGTTCAAACCGAACCGCATTCAGAACTCGATCTCCGGTTCCACAGCTTCCTAGTTTTGTGTCCACTGTGACGGTCATGTAGCTGTAGCCTTAGTCCTGGGTGGCCACAGCTTCAACCACCAAAGTTTTATGAATAGCCCAGGGTCTCAGATTAAGGATTTTTTTTTTTTTTCAGAAAACAACTTAAAATTAAAAAAAAATAAAAAATTAAAAAAAGGTTATAAATGTTCTGCACTTATATAGCCCTTTTCTATCCCAGTGGTACTCAAAACTCTTTCCAGTGTTTCTCAAAATAGTTAAGCTCCAAAAATGCAGTGTCCTCCGTTTCCCATGATGCAATTCAGTAGTATTGTCTTATTAGATAGATAGATAGATAGATAGATAGATAGATAGATAGATAGATAGATAGATAGATAGATAGATAGATAGATAGATGTCCCAAGCGGTGACAGAAATTCTCCTTTGACAATGCCCCAACAGTAAAAATACAACACAAATAAAAACACACTTAAGACACGAGCTCACAAAGTGCAGACGTCTAAAAAAAAATGTTAAAAAGAAACACCAGCCAATAAAACAAATCTGTACTGTTACTACTACTGTGACTGCTGGTCATTGCAGTGGGATGAAGGATTTCTTATAGAAGTTTTTGGACTTTGTAACATCTGCCTGAAGTAACTGTAACTGTTAGAAGGAACTGTTAGCATCCACGTCTTTCAATCTCTACAACACGTTGTTTAACACAAGCTTTTTGTAGTTGCAGTCTGCACGTCCAAACTGGTGTAACCCCCGATTAGCACTTTTCTGCAGACTTGTAAAAATGGTGTTGATGTGTGAAACGGTTGTATTTTTATGTTTTTTTTTAAACTATCTATTGTGACTATGAAAGAGAAACCTTTATTTTGGACTGCCACAGTACAGCCAATGGCTTCATTTTCCTCCTCCTGCAGCACCTCATCGCCCATCAACATGGTAGCATCGGGTGCCGCCGGTTCCTCCTCCCCGCTCCCCATGGCAGCCTCCCCGGGGGGAAACCACACCTCGTCGCCCATTCACCAGCTCAGCTCGGCGGTGGGAAGCTACGCCACCCTGTCGCCCACCAAGCGCATGCTGCATCACATCGGAGCAGACGGCTACAAGATTTCCCACGAGCTGTACGCCAACGCAACCCTGCAAAGGCCTGGGAGCCTGGCAGGTAGAGGTCAAGACAACTTTATTACTACTTTTATGTGTGTGTGTGTTTGTGTGAAATGCCATCGTAGTCAGTTTCTGGAACTCTCCATTTTAGGCAAACATGTAGATCTTTGTTATGTAAGTTAGTTTTTCTTTGCTTTGCATGCGCCTGCAGTAATTGTGCCATTTCTGGAATGATTTTTTCAACAGCACTTAGTGTAACCTCGATTTCTGTTTAGTTGAAATTCCATTTTAATGCTCGGTGTCTGGGATTATAAATTATTGGTTTTCTGAAGGGCTTAATTCAATGTTAGTTCATGACTGTTAAGGTCAGACGGACACACTCCCCATTCATGTGTGATTAGTATTCAGCGGCTTGAACTAAAAGATTTGAAAGAAAACACATATTAGCAAATATCTGATTAAATTGGCTCGAGGTTTTATCTAAAATTTATTAGATTGCAAATGTACTCATGAATATATGAACAATTCATGAATTAGATGAATTGTTTTGTACTCTGGACCTTTTTTTTTTTTTTTTTAAAAAAAAGAAAAGTCAGTTTTAAAAGTGCTGAAGTTTTGGGGAAGGAATGTGTCTTTGATGTAGCTCACAGCAATTATTTACTCCAACAGGAACATTCTTTGTCTTATATTCATTTGCCTGCACCTTTTGCTTTTTAACTGCCTGACTAAAGCTTACAACCTGTTTGTCTAATTCAGGGGTCTCCAATCCTGGTCCTCGAAGGCCACAATCCTGCATGTTTTAGATGTTTCTCTCTTCCAACACACCTGATTCAAATGATCAGGGTCGCTATCAGGCTTCTGCAGAGCTTGATGATGAGCTGATCATTTGGTGTGTTGGAAGAGAGAAACATCTAAAACATGCAGGATTGTGGCCCTCGAGGACCAGGATTGCCCACCCCTGGTCTAATTTGTCATTCAATGTCTGACCTGATGTCTCCTGAAAATATTTCCATCCATCCATCTATCCGTCAGTTTGCTTGACCTGCTCCGTCCTGTGTTCTGCAGGCTCCAGAGGTTCCTACAGCAGCCAGCACAGTCACCTGGGCTCTGAACTGCGACCCCTGCAGTCCCCTGAGCACCACATCGACCCCATCTACGAAGACAGAGTCTACACCAAGCCCAACCTTAGAGGACAAGGTGAGCAGGGATGGGGGAAGCGGAGACAGAGGTTAAGTGTTTAGAGTGTAGAAGCGATGTGTACAAATGCTTAACTGAATCCCAGGTGATGGGGGATGAGACGGGGGGAGCTTTCACAGGTGGAGGTTAAGTGGAATGCAAACAGTTGGGAGACAGTAACAGACACACAAGTGCACAGGATTTTCATAAATGATGACAACTTTGCAAAGGTTTTGAGCTAAAGATATGTTATAAAACTACGACGTCATGTGCAGTTTGAACAATAACAAGAAGTTAAAGGAGGCTTCCACTGATTTTACACATTAAGTTTGCTGCACTTGCCATTAGAGTTACAGCACAATCTTGAACCAGTAGCCTGTGGTACAACGCTAAGGAGTTTAAAGTACACAGACATTCAGCACACAAGTAGAGTCTGCATTATAGGCAAGCTTGTCTAACAAAAGGAATAATAACAGAAAATAAAGTCAGAACATTTCTGTCTGCGCTGCTTAGATTTTGTCTATTTTTTTAATGTGTCTCTTGAAACTTAGTCAAATTGCAGGACTAAATTGACTTATTAACGGTAAATGTGTCTTAGAAACCCTTCACATAGGTGCCCTGTTAGAAAGAATTGGAAAGAAAGTGGAGAGCAAATGAAGGAAAATGTGGAAAAAACTGTAGTAATACAAGACAATAGTGAGACTGGGAACGTGAAAGAAAAATGCTTCAAATAGTCCACGGTTATAAATAGCTGCAGCGTTGTAAATGAGTCACTGAACCATTTACATTTAAAAATCAGTGAGTAGAAAAAGATATCATATGACACCTTGAACAGAGCGGTGGATCAAATAAGCAGCATAAAGAGAAGAGAAAAAAGACACAGCCTGGTCGTCTTATTTAGCGGCGTGGCGTTACATTAAAGGCTGATGTACATGAGAGATTTCCTCGTTCCATCTGATCGTGTAGCGCTATTTACCAGATCGGGTAGGCAAATCCAATTGGGGTCTCAATGGCAATTTGTCTCTCAGTCACAGTCTGTTAACTAATTAGTTTCAAGGCTGAAAATTAATCTCAATTAATCCCATGGGCGTTAGCTTGGGTGCTTTGAAATCAAAGCAAATCAACCGTGTCCTAAAATGTTGTTGATGCTGTGCTGCCGGTTTGGGCGCCTCATTGATGAACGTTGCTGTGGGAAAAAAAAAAAAAAAGAAGCACGGATACAGAGAGAGAGAGATTCTACTCTCATCCACTACGTTTCATTCCAAAACGTAGAGTTTCACACTGATAATTAAAAGATTTGAGGTCATTTCTGTTATGCCGGCTTCCCGCACACACCGATAGGCCGCTTTGATGGATCAAAATAGCTCAATCATCATCTCCAGCTGTGTGCATGTGAATGTGAGTCACGACAGCAGCAAAACGCCACGCTGTCTGTCAGGTTCGTTTTTTTTTTTTTTTTTTCTGTTTAAGCCCGGCTATGTTTCAAGGTCAGCTCAAATAGTTTCATGAAGATGAACAGAGTTGGAAACAAGCAGCCAACATTTTACACCCGATTTCACATCACAGGTGAATTTCCTGAGGCCTTGTCAAGGTCCCTGTTGTTATCTAGATACACACTCAGACACAGATGTACACACACACACGCAAAGAAATGACCTCCCTCAGAGCAAGACAGCGTACACATGATGACTATTGTCCCCAAATGGTTCCTGAACTGCTGTTTAACAAGAAGACAATTCCACTCTCTGTGTGAAACTTGGCAAATGGCCTTTACTGCTTTGTGTTTTACGGTGTTCTCATGTCTTTACAGAAAGGTCTGAGCAACCAACCAAACGCTCGAAAACCCTGAGCAGTTGTTATGTGGGAATTAGTTAGGGGTAATTTAATAAACTGCTAATGTGTTTACTAGTATGCACCACTAAAGAGGAATATTTAAAAAAATAAAAAACTAATAGCATTTTGGGAAAGATTGGCTTTCTTACCCATTTGATACCACACTCACGTCTCACCAGTTAGCTTTCCAGCAATACTGGAAAGGAAGAAACTGTGAGCTGGGCTTTACCCAAAGGTAATAAAGTCCACCTACTAGCACCTCTAAGGTAAAAACAAACAAACAAACAAACAAAAATATTAAACTGAACACACTTCTTCAATCCATACAAGAACACAGCTAAGTTAACTGACTGGTGGCGGCAAGCTATCAGTTAGCTTAGCATACCACAATACTGGAAACAGGGGAAAACAGTTAGCCTTGCTCTGTCCAAATGCTACAGAATCCAGTTAGACCTCTAAAGCTAAGAAATTAATATATTAAAACATATCAAACTTCTTAGTTCTGTATAAACTAAGTGGGCAGCGCCCAGCTACCACCACCAGTCAGTTAGCTTAGCTTACAGGATTGGAAAGACATGAAGGGAAACAAAAGGAACAAAATCCACCAACTAGCACCTTAAAAGAACATATTTAACACATTTCTTTAATCCACACAAAAACACAGCTAAGGTAACTGGCTTTTGGTGACTAGCTACCACTTAGCTTAGCACAATACTGGAAACAGCATGAAGAAGCCAGCTTTGCCCTGTCCAAAGGTAATAAAATCCATTTAGACATATAAAGTGAACTAATTTGTATGTTAAAACATAACACACTTTTTAAATACATTGTTAACGACCCATATAAATTAAGAATAAAGATAAGTTAACAGCTGCTAGCAGCTAGCCACCAGTTAGATTGGACTGAAACACAGCGAAATAGCCAGCCTTGCTCATTCAAAATCAGGTTTAAATAACATACTTACAAACTTAATACATTCATTTAATCCATAAAAGAACCAAGCTAAGCCAACCAGGTGGTGGATAGCTAACCCTAACAACCAGTTAGCTTAGCACAGACTGGAAAATGGCTAGTCAGGGTATGTCTAAAGCCAGCTAATTACACCTTCTTCTTTTTTTTCCTTAAACCATTCAAGAACCAGCTTAAATAAGTAGCGAGTAGTCCTCGCTTTATAGTTACTTTGCTTACAGGCTTACACTAAGGCTATTGACCTTCCAATATAAATCTGTAATTGTAGTATAAAAATGTAATAATAATTAGAACAGTCGGTGGACACAAACCATGGCAGCAAAGTGCCACCCACACCATAACAGTGACCCCAGATCCCCTCTCCGTGGAGGTCCAGGCTTTTCCTTAAATTCGTCTGTATTTATCCGTCTGTATTTCCCAAAATGTCCACCTATTCTTTCAAGTCAGATGTTTGCGCTGTGCTTAGCTGAATCATGGAAGCAGAATGCTGTTAAAGACTTGGACTGTGAGCGAAATGCAATAAAAATTTTACTGCTTCCACTTAAGTAAAGTATTCAGAGCTCAGTTCCTACAGTGTAAATACGATCAACGATGATTACAGTGATGCTAAAAGAGGGGTTTCTTACAATTTGAAGGTTTTCTCAGTGGGCCAGTATAAAATCTCTTGTGGGACAATTAATTCAAATTTTCAGGGGAGGCAAGAGTTAAAATAAGAGAAAACCATAAAATAAGTAGATAATTTAAGCTGACTTTAACAATATATTGTGCCTTAAAGGACATTTGTTTATTTATCATGATAGATAAGCCTTATTCTGTGTACCTGAAAGTTTTACATGTGACCTTTTTGCATGTCTGTTTCACTTTCTGCTTCTGTCTGTTCTATATTAATTTCTTGTTCATATATTTTTCAATGAAATATAAGCTGGTGAGTTCTCTCTTTCACCTGAAGCTACCCCACCTGTTGTCACTGCAGTTTGCTTTATTTATTTGCTTCATGACTTTTTTTAATTCTTCCTTTTCTGCTTTTTTTTTTTTTTCTTCCGTGCCATTCTGTTCCATTGGTGCTGGTGTTGTTGCTTTCTACCGCTCCTGTGTGTCCGTGCATCCTTTGTGTTGGGGCTCGTGTTTGCTTGTGGTTTCTTCATCCCCCTGCTTCCTGCCCCTCTTCCGCGACGTCAAACCCCAGTGGTGAACCAGCTGTACCAAGAGGTCCTCAACTATCTGCTCTTTCCCTACGCTCCTCTTCCCGTTTTAGCCCCGCCTTCCCCCGGTGTCGACCCAATCCCCTTGCAGCGAACGGGAAGCCAGAGTGCCGCCGCCACCTTTCAGAGAGGCAGCTTCGCCACGGGAGGCGGGGCGGCCGACTACGCCAACCCGTACCGCACTCTGCAGTTCTGCCCGTCCACCGAGTCGCCTTACAGCAAGTCAGGCCCCGCACTCCCACCTGAAGCCGCCCTGGGCCGGTCTCCATCAGTGGACAGCATCCAGAAGGACCCAAGGTGAGACCAAACATGATGTTTTCAATCAGAATCAGCTCTGGCTTGTTGATGAAGCCCTTTGATCTGCTCCCTTTCCACTTTCACTGAACTTACTGAGGGCCAGATTCGCCAAAATCAACACGATTATTCAAGAAAATATAAGCAAGACCATTACCTTTTTAAGAAATTATCATTTATACATCACGAAAGGGTGTCTAAGTGTGACACGATGGCACCCGCAAGTCATAGCACCTCAACCGATACTGACTGTCAGGATGTGACAGTCGAGTGCAGTAAACTGCTGGCTGAATCTGGGCTTTAGTATGAGGCACACATCACGCCACATCTTTCACTGTCCTCTCTAGTTCGCCTGGTGTTGGGGCTTGTTCACACTGCCGTATGAATGCCTGCGCACACCTCTAGGACCAATTTAAAAAGTTTGCCATCGCTGTTAGAAATGGAGTGCCTCTGTCAGTGTCAATCAGTCACGTTCTGTGCAATAGGTAGACACAGTTAATGCGGAAAGTCTGCATGAAGTCTGCTTTTAGACCAAAAGAGCTCTGTGTACGAGTGTGGGTGTGTGTGAGAGAGAGAGAGAGAGTGACAGACAGATAAAAAAAAAGAGTCAGAGAGACGCATACAGAGACAGCGTAATAGCTGTTTTTATCACTCTTTTGTCCTAGTTAAAATCAAGTTTGAAATACTATTCCAATTGTGTCTTGGATTTTTTATTTTTTTTTCATAGCCTCTTCTATCTGACTAATGACTGCACAGACTAACTGTCAAAGATAGAAGCAGCCTAATTAAAGCTGAAGTGTCTTCTCGTGACATTTTAGCTCAGGTGTAAGCAGCAGAGTTTTTTTTTTTTTTGCACAAATCTAATATTTCTAATGAGGAAGTGTCTTTGTGCTGAATTGCTCATTATAATACAACAACTGGAAACTCTGAGGTATATTTCTTTGTCATTAGGACAGGTGACTCCTGTTGTTGTTCTTGTTGTTGTTGTTGTCATTGCTCTTTCCTCCACCCATTGTCCAAGTGTTTATTTCTCTGTGCGCATTGCACTCACATCGTCTGTTTGGTCACTCTTTAGCTCCGGCGTCATTGTTATGTAGCTTCAACACATCTGCACTGCTACATTCAAAGGACTGACTTGTGATGCATGGCATTCTGCTTCTCGTTCACGACATGCACACTCGACTCGTCAGCGCTCGCACCATCTCAGGCTATTTGAGACGCTTGTTGTCGCCGTGTTAAAGGGAGGGTCCTCAAAGATTATAATTATCCAGGAACATTCTGATCCTGCAGCTCCACCAGCTCGCTGCTCTGCTGCAGTTTGGGAAAGTATGTTAAAGGATAAGTCTGGCATCTTGCTGTCAACAAATCCCGTTCAAAAAGACCAAAGCCGACTATTTGTTAGTCCGTCTGTCTTTTCTGCGTTTTCTGTGACACTCCAAGCTGCTGACTACATTAACCTGCAAGACAAATTACAAACTTGATTTATTCTAACAAAAGCTCAGTGTTTCTTTAGGCTGTAGTTTTACTGAAACAGGAGTTAATGGTGGGTAGGAAATATACTAAAGCACTAATTTATTGTTGTTTTTTTTTGTCTTTTTGTGGGATTTATTGGCAATAAGTAAAATACAAAACTATTCTTTATCATTCCCAGTTTTTAGAGATTGGCCCACTGATCAGCATAGCTTCCTAGTGCTAACACCACACGTATGCATGTAAGATCCTTTGACACATAGACTCTAAATCTAAAGCAATGAATCAATGACTGAAAATAAAATATGTGCGATTGCTTTACTCATTTTTTTTCATGGTTTCAGGTGAGCAACCACTTATTCAACACTTGCCACAAGCTCAGAGAAGGAAAGTAGTCACCAAAAATATAAAAAGCCTGGAACATACTACCTAAATTTAACCAAGTATAACCAATCTACACTTAACAGGATTAGTGTTGTTTACTCACTATTTAACTACTCCGCCACCGGTCCTGCTTCTCTGAGATAAAGCCGGTCACTTCTAATCATCCAACAGGATTAAAATAGATGACAAAATCATACGTGTGTTATGGATGATTTCTGTCATCATCATTCACCAGCTACGCTGACTAACAGGCCACCGAAAAGTTGCCCCACCGTGTTTCTGCAGCAGCCATTAAACGTCCAGATTTATGTTTTTTTTTTTTTTAAGGGAACAAGAAGAAAGCCAGCAAGACCCTCTCTTTACCTGACATACCATCTCCCCCCCACCACCTGCTCTAAGTGCATGTCCTCCACCCTGCCCACCTCCTTCCACCATTGCCTGATAACTAAATGTTGAGAGAGAAAGATGAGTCTAGTGGCTACATATTGATTTCTATTTACTAATCATCACTAATATGACAGTTATTGATTAATTTGACAGCCAACATATACCTCTCTCTTGTTTCTCTCTGCCTGTCCCCCCTCGATAGGTACGACCCCGAATTCCTTGTGTGGAATCAAAATCAAGCCGAGCAAAGAATGACAAAGTAATCCAACTATTTATTTATACACATGTACATTCTGTCTATCTATCTTACCTTTGTCTCATTCACTGAATCTTTCCATCTTCTCTATATGGCACCGATATCAGACGCAGATGTTAATGTTAACGGCAGCATGACGGCATTTCACATTTGTATTGTCACCCATTTAGTGCTTTAACGGTAAAATAAAAGCAATCCCTTTGATTTTTAGCAGTACATGAACCTAAATTGGAGACTCAGTTACATCATTCTATAAGAGGGACATCCTTTGGGATCTGAAAACACCAAGAAAGGAGCTATATAATCTTTAAGACAGACAACAAATTCACGTAACTAAAAACGACCCAATTATTGTTTGCAATTTGTCAAAATATAGCTACCACAGAATCTTTTTCTTTTTTTTAAGTGTCAGTATTCCTCATTCTCTCCTTTGGCTTTTCATCTTTCCATCCATAACTTTATCCATTTATCTACCTGTTGGTTTATTCAGTCATTCATTTGTCTCCATTGTCTGTCTGTCCAGGTGATTTCTGAAAGGCGCTTTGTGTCGGCTGTATTCATGTGGCTTGCCCGGTGTTAATTTCAGCGCCTCTTTTTGATGTGGTGGTACTGATCGTCTCATCCCCAACAGAAAGGGAATTGCCCTATTTGCCAAAACGTAGAGCTTTCGCTTTAATTGAACACCTAGTAGACGGCCAACATTAACGTTGCACTCAGTCCAATGGAGCCTACAAATACAAAAAAACAAATGCACTGTGAAATCTTATCTTTTTATAAATGTTGGTACAGCCTGTGTGGTTCAATGAGGCATTTAAGCTCTCGTTTTTCCACTTGTCTAATATTTAATGGTGCCATGGATGCATTTAATAAATTGTTTTTTTTTTTTTTTTTACTGGCTAATACTGGCAGACATATTGCTAGCGGATAATACTAGCATGTACACACATTAGCCAGCAATACTTAGACGGACATAACATAAATACTGCCAGGGACTCACCATACAAACAGCACAGGCAGGAGCATAATTCTACCTAACAATACTGGCAGGGACATACAATTAGCCAACATCACATTAGCTAACAATACTGGCAGAAGCATAACAGCACATGGCAAAAACACAATGTTAAGTAAACCTAGCTGGAACATAGCGTTAGATAGCGCTCCAGCGGATGCAACAGAGATACAATATCACAAATACAGGCACGGACATTAGCTAACAATACCAGCAGGGGCACAACATTAGCTGATAATATGGCAGAAACACAATGTTAGCAATACTGGCAGAAGCATAATGTTAGCAATTAATATGGAAGAAACACAATGTTCATCAAGAATAGTGGCAGAGACATAATACGAGCCGATAATACTGGAAAAAAACATTTTAGTGCACAATAAGGACATAGCATTAGCTAACAATACTGACAGAGACATAACGTAAGCTAACAGCACTGTTTGGGGCATAACGTTGGCTAACAATACGAGAAGAAACGTAGCGTTAGCCATTAATGTGGCAGAAACACAATGTTAGTTAATAAAAGTAGCAGGGTCACAGTATTAGCTGATAATGTTGGCAGTTTGTTAACAATACTGACAGGGACATTACATAGGTTGATAATACTACCAACAATATATTCGCTGAAAATACTGGTAGAATCCCATATTGACAGGGAGATAACATAAGCTAACATATAGACATCATGTTAGCCCATAATACTGGCAGAAACACAATGCTAGTGAGCAATACTGCCAGAGACATGTTATGTGATAATACTGGTGGAAAAAACTTTCAGTTGACAATACTGGCATTGACCCAATGTTAGCTAACAACACTAGATATAACATAATAATGGCAAACACATAATGCTAGCTAACAATACTGGCCCATAATAACAGCCAAAACACAGTTAACAATACCAGCATGGCATAGCGGAAACACAATAATAGCTAACACAAAGGCAGACAACAATTCTGACACATCAGCAAAAAGTAATAGCGAAAAGAAAATCCAGTTTAACACTGGGCTGTTCTCATTCACCACAAGGTACAGAAATACTGATGTATTTGATGAAATGAAGCGGTGCAAATAGTCAATGTTGTAATAAAAAAAATGACTTTAGTGCACTGACGTTGTCTGGGTAAGAATAGCGAGTAGATGAGGAGATATGAGGTCATTGCCACCGTCTGCAGCTGGCTCACTAATGATACCTTTATCCTGTAAAAGCCTCAAACAAATATCATTTAGCTGATTTGTCAAGCCACACACTGGCACAATCTGGCAAATCAAGGCATGTTACTGTGGAGACGGCCTCTTATGTACTCTAACGAATTTCCCTCCTCAGGCTGTCAGTGATTTATGGAAACATTCCCACTAACACAAAGACAGATTTGTGCGAGACAGGATCTGACCCGATGATAAAAGTGTCTCGTTGTGTTTCATGCTCTTAAGCGCGCGGGGAATCCATGATCCATACTCAGTCACGGGGTTAAGATGGACTCCGTGGGTGTG